TTAATGAGACACATAAACACCTATGTATCCAGGGGAGTATTGTCGCTACGGAGACAGCAGTGTAAGTTAATGAGACACATAAACACCTATGTATCCAGGGGAGTATTGTCGCTACAGAGACAGCAGTGTAAGTTAATGAGACACATAAACACCTATGTATCCAGGGGAGTATTGTCGCTACGGAGACAGGAGTGTAATTAATGAGACACATAAACACCTATGTATCCAGGGGAGTATTGTCGCTACGGAGACAGGAGTGGAGAATTCCTTCTGTCACGTTATTCTTGACAACGTTGATTAATGGGGCACTAAATCATACCTTATGTGAATTATATATCACAAGGTTTTATTACGCTAAAAACTTAAAAGATAACTTAGCCATCAAAATTTCATTCATGACATCAGGAAAATGATGTATCATAAAGTGTTCAAGATTTTGTTTGATATAAACTTTATTGTGTGATATAATAATTAAAGCATTAAACTGCTTTCAGTTGACATTCATAGTCAATATAAATGCCAATCAGAAATGACAAATTCCAATAAGCATGCTAACACATCAGGTTGAATTCGTCATTTCCAGATGATATATTAACCATGAATACTGAATGAAAGTAGCTTAGTGTTTAAATGTTGTATTTACCAATTTTGAAATATTTAAATTTCTTAGAAAAATGAAGTTAATTTATCAAAAAATTCAGCTTCAGTATAATTTAGTCTATGCATTGTGTGACACTGTTTATTGTATAGAATAGCCACGTTAATGGCAGATCTGTACTCGCCAGCATCACAACACTAATATATTGTATATATTGAAAAATATAATCTAAAAATTAAAGACCAATCTAATATGATTTTTTTTCCTGGTATAAACTTAAGTCCCAAAGAGCATTAGATTCTGTTTCCAACACATAGTAATGTATTTTTTTCATGTTAGTTGCTCAAAATTATTTTTTAAAAGCAATTTCATTTTTGGTGATAAACGCATTATTCATAAAGTATTTAATTGGCAAACATAAATGTAGATGAATATAAGGAAAGATTTGTGTTGAATAGCTGGTTTTGTGGTTTAACTGTATACACCTTCGTGATGAATAGCCGTTTTTGTGGTCTAACTGTATACACCTTCGAGATGAATAGCTGTTTTTGTGGTTTAACTGTATACACCTTCATGATGAATAGCCGTTTTTGTGGTTTAACTGTATACACCTTCGAGATGAATAGCTGTTTTTGTGGTTTAACTGTATACACCTTCGTGATGAATAGCCGTTTTTGTGGTTTAACTGTATACACCTTCGTGATGAATAGCCGGTTTTGTGGTTTAACTATATACACCTTCGTGATGAATACACCTTCGTAGATACACATAGAGATAGTTTGGTGTTGATTCTGATCTTATGTCAGGATCAATAGTTTTAATATCCTTAAAAGAAGTTCTGCCAGCACCTGTAGGTCAATGAATTGATCGTTAATTACTCCGACAATCAGATCTCCTGGGCTCACTACCTGCCGTATTGTCTCAGTTTATTCTGTATAGTATCTGTTATAACCACACACTGATTGCAAGTGTCGGGGAAATGTAGCTGTATTGCAGGGTTTTGAACCAGCCCGAGGACCTACAAATATCTAGATAAACATTCAAACTAACTGAGCAACTTAACCTTGTCCATGAAGAACTTTGCTATTATCTTTCTTCCCTCCCCCCTCCCCAACCCACCAGATCTTTCCTCGGACCTCCCCAACCCACCAGATCTTCCCTCGGACCTCCCCTTCCCTAACCCAACAGACCTTTCCCCTCTCCTATCCCTTGTCCCACAAGACATTCCCCAACCCACCAGACCTGCCCCCAGACCTCTCCCCTCCCAAACACACAAGACCTTTCCCCTCTCCAACCCACCAGACCTGCCCCAAGACCTCTCCCCTCCTAAACCCACAAGACGTTCCCCCTCCACAACCCACCAGACCTGCCCCCAGACCTCTCCCCTCCCAAACCCACACGACCTTTCCCCTCTCCAACCCACCAGACCTGCCCCCAGACCTCTCCCCTCCCAAACCCAAACGACCTTTCCCCTCTCCAATCCACTAGACCTGCCCCCAGACCTCTCCCCTCCCAAACCCACAAGACATTCCCCCTCCGCAACCCACCAGACCGGCCCCCGACCTGCTAGTGATTATTACCAATTCTTGTCATGGCTTACATATAAAAAAAAACCATAATTTCTTTTATAAAAATTCCGTAGTTTTTTTTACACCTATCATATTTCTTAATTTGTAACTTAATATTTGAATTGAAAATGCAAGTAGACTCTGAGGCTTTGAGGTCTCATTGAAATACATGTATGTCCAGTTTTCATATTTACTGAAAATCCTCCTTTTTTACAAAATAACAAATATGGGACATCAAATAAAATCACAACTGAGAGACACCAGTAGGATTTATTTCTCATCAATATGACAATAAACTTGTCATTTACAGGATAATTACTGTTGTTAATGACACCTGGAACTGTTAACTAGATTTATATCTCTTTTACCTCTATATTTAATTACACCTGGAACATGCCAGACCTATATTGATTCTATCTTACACCTTAATTAATTACATGAAAAGCTTTCAGATAGCTATTGAATCAAACATCAGATTTCTCCAGTTGTGCGCGGTTAACAAAGCCTTACTCCACACATTACCGTATTTGATCAATGGTTAGCCCATGCTCAGTTTGAATGATTTAAGTTTTGCTCTTACCCTGTTGACCCTGTCATAAAGCATTGTTGATGTGACTTCATTGCATTGGTGACAAAGAAGTGAGACCATTGTTATGACTCCCTAATCCCTTCGCCTTACCACATGGGGAAAGTGTAGATATACCTGCAGGGTTTTACATCCCATTTGGACTTTGAGAGTCTTGGGCCCCCCTTGATTGCAAATTGGGGGTCCTAGATGAATATTTTGGGTCCTCATAAATGAGAATTTTCAATTTCCGTTGCTCTATGTCATAGACATCATTAAATTTGGAGACCAGAATTTTAAGTTGTCATTTCAGGGGGTTTATAGGGACACAAATGTTCAGATTAAAGGGTCCTGTAATGAAAAATGGGGGTATTTGAAGCAGGATTCTGCTACAGGTAAAACCCTGTACCTGTACAAGGTGAGAGATTTATAGAGTGTACATGCATTCTATTATATAATTAAGCCATCTATACCTATTCAGGTATATGTAGGGTAGACTGTAGGCTACCTAAGGACTAGAGACCATCTGGGATTCTCGGATGTAAAGTTTGGTCCCACTGTGTTTCGTACAGAGGAAGAAAATCAATTCAGGATAAATAAAATATGCCTCACTTGTGACTATTAACGGTGGTTTTATTGTGCTCCCCATTTTGTCAGTACGAGGTATTTCCTTGAGGTGTTATGTAACAGGCTGATATCACAGTTTAATGGGAGCAATATATTTTATAATGAAACACTTTATATTTACAACTGAAGTATGATAATGATAAGATGTGGTGCTATAGATACTGGGTTTGTTACTACACATACCAAAGGTTAGTCCTATACGAGAGTAGTAGGTTTTTAAATCGGGGAGGTTTTAGTTAGTCTATGATATCTTCAACCAAGAGTTAGTCCTATACGAGGGTCTGTAGTCTATAAATCGTGAAGGTTTTAATTAGTCTATGAAATCATACAACCAATATATAGTCCTATGGATTTGCTAGAGGAATTAGCTTGCAGCTTACAGCTAAAAAAAAATCATGATTACCTAAATTGATTTTGAATTAGGATTGTTAGAATGCATTACCGTAATAATTTTTCTTATTAAAGGTTGTAACATTGTTTTCAGCATGTTGGCTGTTCCTTGAGTTTTCATGACATGCATTTGGAAAACTTTCAAAAAACATCTGATCAATCCTTGTTTCCTAGGCCGCCAATAAGAAATCTGAAAGTGCTGACCTTTTACCTCTCTTGACCCCAAAAATGAGAAAGAGGCCGACACCATCTGTCGTAGAAGAGGTGGTTAATGAATTTCAGAACGCACTTACTTGTCCACCGAAGCATGTGGTTAGTGGCCACCGTCCACCGCTGACACCGCAGCAATATCACCGCTGTCATCGTTCGTGGCTGCATGGATTTGATTTGTGAAATTAACGCTTTGTTTGTAACGATGGCTGGAGTGGAATATGATGAAAACAAAGGTTTAAGAAGCATCCAATTAAATCATATTCAAATCAAACATATTTAAAAAAAGGCTGAAAATCTGCTTTTGGAAACAAAACAATCAATTTCCTTATTTTCATCAAAATATTCCACTCTAACCTTAGACTTAGAAATATTTAATCATGAATGAATTTTTATAAACTTTTGTATGCTTGTCATCCTAACAATATATGACCAGTCAGATATCCTAAAGTAATGTTGTGGTTGATCGGGGTAGAGTCGAGGGACTGGTGTTTGAAATCTCCTGACCAGTCAGATATCCTAAAGTAATGTTTTTGTTGATCAGGGTAGAGAGGGACTGGTGTTTGAAATCTCCTGACCAGTCAGATATCCTAAAGTAATGTTGTTGTTGATCAGGGTAGAGAGGTACTGGTGTTCTACAAAACAAGTGAGCGAAACTGTTGCCCCAGGTCTAGCCAACTGTTATTAACAATAAGTGGATTGAGGGGAAGAGGGTCCAGGCAGATCTGAAAAACCTGAAAGTCCTGTAACATCAAAACTCACCTTAATATACTATCTATTTGATGAGCAGTGTCAGTGACAAAAATTTGGCATTTACAGTCTATATGAATGCCATCACTTTGCTGGCAAACTTAATAGCACACATTATGTTTTTTTTGCCAGCAAACCTGTGCCAATCTTATAGACAGTAAACATCATATGAACACAGTTCAGTGATTATATTTACCATCTTTGGAGTACTATTTCAATACCACAGAAATAAATATATACTTGATAAAACTCAACATATATATCAAATTAGTGTATGTATCGGTATGCTTGTTCAATTAATAGAACAGCCATCTCCCATGGAGGGTCGGTGGTATGTAATGTTACAATTATGACGTCCAAACTTGGTAGGGTACTAAAGTGGCAGTACCGTAGAGTGTTAAATATAAAAAAAGTTGATAACTACGAGTTACCTGTATTCATACTTTATGGCACAAATCCTTCAAAAGATATAGTTTTAATTACATGCAAATTAAATTTAAAAAAAAAAAATGACAGGGAGGATAAATAAATACTTATTTCACTGTGGAATACAATATTAGGTCAATACCTGTGTGGTATAGAACAGCCTGCCACATAACACAGCACAACTTAATGGTGGTTTGATGTTGGTTAGGAATGAGGCATGAATAATGGATGTCACTTTTACCAGGCCAGTACCTTTACATACAATTGTGTACCATAAATACTCAGTTAAACCGCTTTTACCAGGCCAGGGCCAACTTGTATAAAACATCTCAAAGTTAAGGAAAATCTCAAGCAATGTATTGTCTATGGGAAATCTTAGACTTGAGGAAATCTCAAGAGTTGAGATGTTTTATACAAGTGGGCCCAGTACTTTAACAAACAATTGTGTACCGTAAATATTCTGTTAGTTTTTGTTACCACAGACAAATACTCTAACATAAAATCCTGTATATCGTAAATATTCATTTAAACTTCTCTTTCCAGGCCAATACTGTAACATAGAATATTAATACCGTAAATACTACATTAAACTTTCCAGGCTATTACTGTAAAATAAAATCTTGTAAACTATAAATACTCTGTTGTCACTCTCACTAGTCCAATACGTAATGTAAATTCTTGTAAAACAAAATTCCCTTTTTCCAATGAAATATCAAATGTTATAATTAAAAAGGTTTCTTGAATCAATACTTCATTATTTTCAATGTTTGTTTTAGTAATATTTCCTATATAGTAATTTACTTAATAAGTAAGACGTCCAAACATGGGATTAAGTCTACACTAGATTTCTATTATACTTGTATCAGTATATAAATCCTTCTTACGACTTTGGTGAGTTAAACCTGTTAGTCATATTAACCTTCGTCTTTGGCTAAGATCTCCAGAGCTGTTATACACGACTACAAACACCTTAGCATTAATGGGAAAAGGATTTTCATAAACAGTTGTTAGTGGGCAGTGCTAATACAGGTCTGGAGAAAGTGATCGTGACGTAAACAGTCAGATGTGTTAATTATGTTAGTTTTACATTACAGGTAAAATTGCCAAGACAACCTGGTCATTTCAAATCAGTCATTGTATTATAGAATATAGAGTGAGTGATTCAATAATGTACGGTATACAGAAGTTGATCCAGATTAAACTGGAATTGGGGCAGAGGCACCTGCATTTACTGTAAAGCTGAAAGAATGAAAATCTCCCCATCACACATTTCCTGTTTATTAATCCTTAGAATACATTCTACCTTGAAACGTTTTGTCGAATTCAATTTTTTTTACAATTAGCGAAGAGAAATATTAACAATTGGTGATAAGTTATACATATTGTACATATCATCTAGTTTCCTCAATATTTTTAAGGGTTTTCAGCCTATGGGAAATTCTCAAATTAAATGAAAGAAAAAACAATACAAAATGAACTGGTATTAAATTTTTACAAGGTCAACAGAGCAAGTCTGACTTATCTGAATGGCCTGTTACGATTGGCATTGAAACATGTAAAGTTTGACGCAATATGATGTGTTGTCTCCCTTTGTTTTCAGTGTGAATGCTTTGACTTCGGTTTACTTACAGGATCAGCATGGATACTTACCTTGATTTGTGCTGCTGTGACCTTTATTTTACTTTATGTTATGTAGAATCGTGTCATTCTGACCTGAGTATGAAGTTTTTGTTTTGGACTAATCACTAATCCCTATTGTTGCCAGGCTACACGTGGTCGTCGTGGTGATGAGGAAATTTTACCGTATCTGTCCCCAAGGACAGGATATAGTTCATCCAGTGGCCGAAGACGTCCAGTCAGTGCCCCTAACAAATATGAGGAAGTAAGTCATGGACGAAGGTCAACATATGACCTGTAGGTTTGGTCAGTCTCTGTCCTTCCTAGTCTCCAGCTGTCTCAGGCATTTCTTCATTCTCTATGTCTAGTGCACTCAGTAACAAAGTTTTGTTCAACTTCGCGGGGTAAGATACCTGACTGACATTCAATATCTACATCTTACCCTTAAAATAGATCTCTGTCTCATGTCGTCTTGTCCTTGAAATTGACTTCTGTCTTCTTTAAAATTGACATTCACTTCTGCTTAGCTCGTCTTTAAAATGTATATCATGTCTTTAAGATTATAGGAAAATTTACCACTATCTCAAAGTCATTGTGCCCTCTGAATATCTGTCTCATTGCTTTGTCATCTTGTTTTCAAAATTTACTTGTCTTTAAACACTTGTCTATAATTTTCAAATACTCCTTGTCTTTAAATGGTTTTAATACTTTGACGTTTCTTGAAGGAAAATATCATTTTCAGTCCTAACAAATGTATCATATGCTTTCCACCTAAATATCTTAGCTTTCTTACACTATCGTTATCTTTGACCCTTGACCTCTGTGTATTTCATTGACCTCAAAGTATCTCCTTTATATGTTCCCTTGTATTAAATTCTCATTTCAATTTTGACAGTTTTATAAATTTTCACTATTAGTTTTCTATTTCAATTTTTTTTAAACTATTCTGTGAATTAATGCACACTTTTGTGTCACTTGATTTTTGTATTGAATCAAGCAGAGCCAGTGTTGTAGTATTGGTATGTGAAAAACCACAGAATCTTAACCAAGAGTGTGATGAATGGCTCACTAAAGATCTTATTAGAAGCTTGACACTGTTACGTACGAAGCTTGACACTGTTACATACCAATTATCATGCATGGCTAATTGTCTTTTTATAGAGTTAGTTATTTAACATTTGATTGAAATGTTTTATTGGTTAATTTTTTTAAAGAAAACATATCGGTGTGAAATAACAATATAATATTTGTGTGTTTTCTTTGAGATTTATATGTTGTAGATATTTTAAAACAAATAACATCTTATTTTGGGCTTATTGGACAATGTTTATTATATTCTGATACTTGCTATGAGAAAACAATTTCATTAATTACAAAAACTCATTAGATTTATGAAGTCTTTAAAAGGAAGAGCAATTTGAACAAAATTTAATATCAATATATGAACATTTATTGACTTTTTTTTTTCTTTTTTATACATGCATATTCATAGGGTTATTATTGTATATTTTCTTATTTTCATTGAAAATTTCCTCAAATGCATTTTAATTATTAATTGATAAATTTCCATATTTATAAACCACAGCATTCTGATTGTCTGCCCTTGTCTCCTAGGTGATATATGTGGATGAGAATGGACGACCTTTAACCCCAACCTCAGAAATGGGAGAGGAAAGCCACTCCCCTTCCCGTTCAAAGGGACGACAGGAAGAAATAGATACCAGACACTTGTATGCGGTAAGGATTCGTGTGTAAAAGTCTCACCACCATACAGCTATTTCAAAATCTTTGGCACCGAGAACAAATGTTGACATAAACAGTCATTTTCATTTGTTGTTGTTTCTTCATTTTGTTTCTTTATAATGTAACCCATTGTGGAAAATTACACTATATACCACAGTGTGTCAATATGTACATTTATACATATATATGTCACAGATATCAACAGTTAAGCATTGAACTGCTTTCAATTAGCATTCATAGTCAATATGAATGCCGATGAAACTCCTTTAAGCTTAAATTGCTAGCACTTCATGTTGAGTTTGTCAGGTTCCATTTGGCATTCATGATGACTATGATGGCATCACAAAATGGGCTATTGCATTCATAGCTGATATCAATGACATCTGACCTAAGTTAGGTTTTATAGTGGCAGTGCCATAAGTTGGTAAACAATATAGAAACGTGCATGTCACATTGTATCAATAAAATGACAAAAGAACACCATTTTCTTTATGGGATTATTCAAGTATTGATTTTTTTTAAAAACTGTGATATTTATTTTTCTTTACAGCTTGACTCCAATTCTCTTAAGAAGTATGCCCTGACATTATCTAAGATAGAACAAGGGGAGGGATTAATGTCTCCCTACGGTATGAACCAAATACCAACCCCTCCCCGCAGTGCACGCAGTGGCAAGGGAAATAACTCTGCCCGGGCCCGTGGTTCAAGGCCAAGGACAGCTGATGCCAGGATGTCATCACAGAGGGACACACCAGAAAAACGATCTCCGACCATGGTGAGGCCCACAAGAGAGAATTCATTGAAAATATATAGGGGTTCAAGGAAATTTTTAAATTACTTTTAAAATGCTGCAAAATGGTGAACAAAACATTATTCTTTGTGAGGATTCCACAAAGGAAATCAATGATCTATCAGTAGAGATGAAACAAAAGATATTTTACAATTAAGTGCTAAAGCATAAAACACATTGTATAGGGAGAATTACTCCATAACTTCAATAGTATTGACATTCTTCATCATTATTTTTTTAATAACTGCAAAAACAGTTTAATTAAAACATTGGGTTGAGAAGGTTCCTGAGATAGATGTATCGCTAGGCCTATAAATGGTACCTCTAACAACTAAGTTGTATGTGTATGATGTAAGGTTTGGATTGGTGGATGGTTTAACTTTTATTGAAATCATGTGTGCAGTTTATCATCTTATCATGGCCAATCTGTCGTTGTGTGTAACATCCAATCAGGTTTGCCAATGTGTCACATGATTCACATCCAATCAGAATTGTTAGTATTTGTCACACGACTCACATCCAATCATAATTGTCGGTATTTGTCACATGATTCACATCGAATCAGAATTGTTAGTATTTGTCAGACGACTCACATCCAATCAGAATTGTCAGTATTTGTCACACGACTCACATCCAATCAGAATTGTCAGTATTTGTAACATGATTCACATCCAATCAGAATTGTCAGTATTTGTCACACGACTCACATCCAATCAGAATGGTCAGTATTTGTAACATGATTCACATCCAATCAGAATTGTCAGTATTTCTCACACGACTCACATCCAATCAGAATTGTCAGTATTTGTCACATGATTCACATCCAATCAGAATTGTCAGTATTTGTCACACGATTCACATCCAATCAGAATTGTTAGTATTTGTCACACGACTCACATCCAATCAGAATTGTCAGTATTTGTCACACGACTCACATCCAATCAGAATTGTCAGTATTTGTCACACGATTCACATCCAATCAGAATTGTCAGTATTTGTCACACGACTCACATCCAATCAGAATTGTCAGTATTTGTCACACGACTCACATCCAATCAGAATTGTCAGTATTTGTCACACGATTCACATCCAATCAGAATTGTCAGTATTTGTCACACGACTCACATCCAATCAGAATTGTCAGTATTTGTCACACGACTCACATCCAATCAGAATTGTCAGTATTTGTCACACGATTCACATCCAATCAGAATTGTCAGTATTTGTCACACGACTCACATCCAATCAGAATTGTCAGTATTTGTCACACGACTCACATCCAATCAGAATTGTCAGTATTTGTCACACGACTCACATCCAATCAGAATTGTCAGTATTTGTCACACGACTCACATCCAATCAGAATTGTCAGTATTTGTCACACGACTCACATCCAATCAGAATTGTCAGTATTTGTCACACGACTCACATCCAATCAGAATTGTCAGTATTTGTCACACGACTCACATCCAATCAGAATTGTCAGTATTTGTCACACGATTCACATCCAATCAGAATTGTCAGTATTTGTCACACGACTCACATCCAATCAGAATTGTCAGTATTTGTCACACGACTCACATCCAATCAGAATTGTCAGTATTTGTCACACGACTCACATCCAATCAGAATTGTCAGTATTTGTCACACGACTCACATCCAATCAGAATTGTCAGTATTTGTCACACGATTCACATCCAATCAGAATTGTCAGGCTGTGTCACATGATTCACAATATATCAAATTTGCCACTGTGTGTCACTAAGATATTTTTGTATGAGTCATTTCCAGTCAGATGTGACTTATGTTATTCACAGAATGTAGAATTATTACAGAATTCATTGGTTGTCATGGTAACAAACATGGTTTTGTGATTTTCAGACAATTCAAAGTAACTATTGACATAACACAGAATCCAACCCCTATCAACACTTCTGGTGAAGTGTTACACTTCTATAGAACTAAAAAGTCGAGAAACCCAAACAGCACAGTTCAGAGGAAATGTTTACTGTTTGAAGTGTTTATCCTGTAAATATTAAAAACAAAACAGTTTACAAAAAGTTTTACAGGAAATTAAAATTAATTTTGTTTTATATTATAGATAATTCTATTATCATTTCTAACCTTAGTTTCTTGTATTACATTATTTGTCACTTCATTCCGGAACTATCTTATATGTCCTTAATTACAAAAATATTGTTATATAATATTATCTTAATATCTTATCTGTAGTTAACTAAAAGAACTAGTATATATCTTATATATACCTTACTTCAAGATATGATATAAAATCTCTTTACACATTATTTATCCTAACTACAAGATATGATATAAAATCTCTTTACACATTATTTATCCTAACTACAACAACATATATGAAGTCTCTCTTTGCCCAACATATATCTTTAACAATATGAATATTATATATATCCTAAATATGTCTCTGCTTAGTATCTCTCTGTATCACAGAAAAACCTCTCTTTGAGAAGTATCTGGTACTAGTAATCATTATTTCCCCTTATTTTCCCCTTCTATAGTTCTACATCGGATATACAGTGTGATAACTGCCATATGCTCCTTGTCAACTTACCATATTCGCTGTAATAAGTGTCACTCCCCCTATTTCAGGAGGAATTGGAATTAAAAAAAGCCTCCCCATGCCACACTGATAAAGCCAGGTCAATGATTTAAAGTACTTACACTATAAAGCAGAGATTTATGTCTAGTGATGATGCCTCACCTTCCAATGAAACATTTGACAATGAAAACCTCCACACCAGATGTTTATACTGTCCGTCTGTTATACTGTAGCAATGGGTGAAGTTGAACAACTTGCTCTATAATACTTCAAATTTTATTTTTGCAAATAAAACTAATTTCAGCTAATTTCTAAGTACCCTGGGCACTAATTACGGCGAAGGCGGTATGTGAGAAAATTACAAAGCAATCTTTGTCATTCCATAGTAGGTAATGTTATCAAATACAGATATTTCTACAATTTTTCAAAACAATTCAATTTTCAGAGAAACACAGATGAAGAATCACGCCCATCATCACAATTATCTGTAGTGGAAGTATGTCTTATCACCTGTCTTAGTCCATGTGTCTTATTATACATGTGTCTCATCATTGTGTTCTTTTAATACACCCATGTATCTTAATTCTGTCTAAATGTCTTAGTATGACACATGTGTCTTACCCATATGCCTACATATGTTAATTTATAACACAGTCTTAACAATGTATCCCCGTTATATCAAATTAACGTGTTCCTGTTTTCCATCAATGTGTGCGTGAGTGTTGTTATCATTGTGTCTTTCATGCTTCATACCACGGAATTAGATTAGATTGTTATCTAAGTCCGTGTTCATACCCATTAACTGTTCACATCATGTTTCCCTTTCAGTCCTAAGGACTAAGAGGGACAATAACCTGAATGAGTACCTAAATTTTACAAGCGATTAGCTTTATAAACACACAAATTTGACTTCAATGAAACAATGCAATTTTTGTAAAGTATTATTACAATGAAACCAATTTGGTATAGAGCTTAAACCATATCTGTATCATTTTTGTCTATCAGTTACAAAATGTATCACTTCTATGAAAACTCCCTATGCAGCCTATATCTGGACATTTCAGGGGTTAACCCTTTCACCACGGTGATGAGTCCACTGTGGCCCACAATGGACTCATCCAGATAAAGCTATGGTAGAGACTACTAAAGTTACCTAGGGGTGAAAGGGTTAAGCGCATTTGCACTCTCTGCACCCTTGGAATATGTCATGACAAAATCAAAAGCTCTAAATTTGATTAGATCCACATGAAAAAAACTGGCCAATCGCTAGGCTGATACCTGTCCTTTACATATTACAGAAGAGCTACATATCACTTGCTGCGTAAAGAGCCTTTAATTTTACCGTGACATGTTCCAGGGATGCAGTAAAGATACAGATATTGAGTGTGAAACATTTGGATTCTCAGAATATATGCAGCCTAATGCTATTATTTCATAAAACAATGATTTTCTAAAAATAGTTTAAATGAGCTTGATTTGGTACTGAATAAAATACAGAAACAGAGTTGTCCTTCTTGTCTACCTTCATCTTCTGTAAACATTTGTCATATTACAATCTATATTGTGTGTTAGGATGTTTAGATAGCTGTGCATGGGTTTTTATTCTGTAAATAAGGAAAAACTGGTCAGTCGAGATTGTTCTTATGTAACGTTATATATAAGGTAACATTTAATGAAAATATTATATTGTATTCTGTATACAATGTTCAATGTTTACAAACGTAGTCTTTGTCTCAGAAAAATATGTACATTTATGCAAAACAAAAATACATATATTTGAATTTATTTTGAATAATAAAAACCTGATCATTTTTTTCTTATTTATAGTTAAATAAGTAATTAACATGTGACCCAGTTTCTTATGCTTAACAGTGGCCATTAGTTGTGACCTTTGACCCTAACTGCATGGAGTGATCACTTCCTTTTCAGATCTTTATTGTATATATGTCACCCTGGTAAAGTACTAGCCGCTTCCTACCAACTCGGCTAGGGAATTTCTCTTTATTTAGCTCATTTGGTAGAGAGTAAGACTAGTAAGGCAGAGGTCCGGGTTCGACTTCTAGAGGAGGCGTTGAAAAAATAATGAACTCAGTTTCATACTGTAAATCAGTTGATTTTGGATGTGACTAGATTTTGGCTTATTTAGCATATGGTGTGGAATACAAGTAGAAGCCTGTGACGGCAAGCAATTCTAAAGTCAGTACCAATGGTCGATCAAAAACCTAGAAATAAATTCTTTAGAAATACACAGATTGGTTTTTACTTAAATAATTGTTCAGTAGAACATGTTCAGTGCATACGTAGCCACCACAGTACGTTACAATATCATTGTCACCTAGACTGTAGCGGCTGTCATGCTTTCATTTTCAGAGATCAGTTGATACAGAAGCTCTCTGGTATCCCAGAGCTAAAAATGAAATACACAATCATACACTCTGTTAAAAATGGGATCAATATATCATAAACAATTTGTTGAATGATATCTATATATATATAAAGAAATAAAAGACAAGAGTTTCTTCGACTTCCCTAGTGCTTTCTCCTCTTTAGAGGGTTCATCAGGGGAATTCACCTATATATATATAAAAAATATAAGCTTGTAACAATGCTGCCCAAATTGTCAGTTATTCAAAATCAGCAATTATTTTGAAAACCAATCACATTTCTTAATTTATACTTTGAAGTAATAAAATGTAAGTTTCACATTTGGGAATAAAAAATAAGTCAAAATTCACACACCGAAATTTAAAAACCTTATATTTTGCAGGTCATTAGCAATGACAGAATGCTCGTTTAAGGTACCATTTTCTGTGTACAGGGAAACGTAATTTTGCATTGGTTTTCTGGATAATCAGTTTCTTATCTGATCATTAGAGGCATTTTGTTTTAACATTTATTCTCACAAAATTTAATTTTTGGAAAGTTCATATTTTAAATTGGTGATATCTTTACCTTTTGTGTAAAGCAAGACAATTTCACCTTCAGTTTGTCTTTTCCGTTTTCTTCCTTGAAAAAGAGGATGAAATAAAGTGGTTTTCCTTTTATTTTACTGTCAAATAGCTATTATATTTCAAAAGACTGAAGAGCAACCATTGATGCCATTCTGAATTATAAAGTTCACTTTTATTGTCTGCACAGGCTGATAAGCCTTTATATAAAAAGTGTATCTTGTATATTGGTGTGCTGTGTATTTTGTTATCTATTTATCAGATATACACATTTATATATATACTGGAACCCCATTCGTCCCAAACTTTAGCTTCTCATTTTTTCCCCCCGAGATCATTAACGCACCATTCAGAATTGTTTTCCATTTTTTGGTAAATGATTTTGTGAAAATAATTAAGGTATATTTGAAGGATTAAAGTATGAAATGCGGGCTTATCAAGATTTTATAATCAGACAATTAAGATAAGTAATTCTTCCTACATTATATTGTTTTAGAGGACTCATCATTTACCCTAAATGCATGTACTTAAAAAAATCTTACAGGGTTAATCAGATGTCAAGATGGGTGGCATTTAATTTTACTGTAAAAACAATTTTGCAAATCTAATTTTAAATACATTATGGCAGTTATTCCTTTTGAATGACGTTCAGCATTTTAATGCCTTATTAATAAATACGAGAACTTTAAAAATTATTTTTGTTACTGTCACCAGGGGGCATTGATGCTTCATCGCCAGGAACCAGCAGTGATGCATCAAGGGGAAGTACAGACACTATGTGAGATCACAATGAAATACCACGGACCAAACCTTACTCTGCCACGGGACCAGTATGAACCCAAACAGGAAGTCGCCATCGACCAGCAGCATTGTGGGGGAAATACACTGACTGTTTTCAAAGAGAGGCTAAAGGCAGGAGGTAGTTACATGGCTGATTGTCTAATGTAGCTCTGTCAGGAAGTTTATGATTTAAGAATCAGATTTCAGGTTGTGATACATAGGGAGCTGTCTCGAGTCGAGTATCAAAACATTTTTAAAATTATATTTTTCATGTCTTATAGTCCTTTCTCAATTTACGTATGTACTTCTTTATTGATTAATTGATCGAGTGAAGTTGAAATGCATTGGTTTTTGATAATTTCAAAGAAACCTTTGAACTATTTAAATTGATGTGGGTGTCGGTATGTCCATCTGATCTCCGTAAATAATTGTGCTTAGCTGCTTGTTTCATACATAAAATAGAGCAATATTTCAGACTTAGGAATAAACAGTTTTCAAACCTGATTAATTCTGTGTTGCAGACAAGTTTACGTTTATATCCCGACGTCACCGTGGTTTCCCATTCAGTCTGTCGGTATACGTTGATGGCCGTATGGACTTCCGGATCAGCCGCTGCTGTGAATACAAACACTTCAAGGGAGTCCGACTCGGAGGCAAGCTTGGACACTTCAGTCTACTGGGTGTAGAGGGAGCCACTCCCTGTTACAGGTGAGTCAAGCCGAAATATCGTTTTTTTTAAATGGAGACATTTTTTCTGATCGATTTAATCATGCAACCTAATGTAATAATAAGTTCATTGTGAAAAATTAAAATGATATTATGTCTATTGTTTTTCTTTAATTATCAATTATACATACACCATACTTGACAGCTCTCCCTATTTTGGAGGGAGACTCCTGATTTTGGATTCTAAAGTTGAGCATTTTCAACCTGTGAGTTTGCTAAACTATTCCTATTTTCTAACATTTGATGGTTTTATTTGAAAGAACAGCTCAAAAGATGCCAATTAAAAGTGTTATTTTTTGCTACAAGCACATTTTTGTATGTTTTTTAATTCTAAGCAAGTATGATGCACACTTCTTAATCTCTACCTGAAACAGGTGTGCTCTGAACACCCAGGCCACGCCCAGAAGTCTCAAACGCCCCGTCCCCGTCAAACAGAAGAACAACAAAGCCGAGGAGATCAGGGAGGAAATCATCGTACCGAAACCAATACAGAAACGAAAGGATGAGAAAACTGAAGGTAGGTGGCGTCGGGAAGTGAAAACACTACTTTTGTTAAAATTTAAACATTAAAATAATACTATTCTCTGTTTTATCTATCATTAATATGTTTCATTAGTACAATCATGGTTACCCTGTAGCAATCCTAACTTTTACACTTAAACCTTTATACTGTATACAAGGACATTTTTGCAACTGGATAACTTTTGCCTTTTTTGTCCTTTGTAATGAAAGTGAAATGACCATTACAGTGAATTCACGTAAACAACAGTTTAACACGTTTATCAGATGTGAAGGGTGAAGTTATCACAGGGCAAATACTGAATTTGACGGCATGGGGCGAAAGTTTGACAGTGCGAACATTTCCCAGTGTACAGTATTTTCTTACTCACAAAACATCTTATCATACTTATGTACTAGTGGGGTGACACCTGAAGGGATGTCACAGATGGAATGAAGTGTAGAGGGCAATAACTCCGTTTAAACACGGTTAAAACAGCTATTCAACATGACATTGAAGAAATTGTTTGAGTGTTTTAACAAATTTGACCCCTGTGACCTTGAATAAGGGTCAAGGGCATTTCCTTTTGCAAAATTTGTGTGGCATGATGCTGCCGTTAAGGCAAAGAAAAAGAATCATACTTCTGTATGAAGAACATCTACTCTTGAAACTAATAGATTTGGTAGGACACCATAGATAGGCTTTGAAGTCTGTTTTGTTACCAGTAGGTCTGCAACGATCATGAACATCAGACAATACAATACGTATCACGATACTGTAGTCACGATGCAATACGTATCCCGATACTGTAGTCACGATACTATACGTATCACGATACTGTGGTTACGATATGATACGTACGTATCACGATACAGTAGTCACGATATGATACGTATCACGATACTGTAGTCACGATATGATACGAATCACGATACTGTAGTCACGATATGATATGTATCACGATACTGTAGTCACGATATGTTACGTACCACGATACTGTAGTCACGATATGATATGTATCACGATACTGTAGTCACGATACGATACATATCACGATACTGTAGTCACGATATGATACGTATCACGATACTGTCGTTACGATACGATACGTATCACGATACAGTGGTTACGATACGATACGTATCACGATACTGTAGTCACGATATGATACGTATCACGATACTGTGGTTACGATACGATACGTATCACGATACAGTGGTTACGATACGTATCACGATACAGCTAGTAACAGTAGAAGCAACGTGAAGAGATATGTTGCACATGTTTATAGGCAATATCACAACAGGAAATAGACTTGGTCCTAAATGGGCATGACTTTAAAGTTTCACATAATTCTCTTCTTTCGACGTGCATGTCGATCTTGAGCTGTCACTCGCCGTGTGGGAACGAACATGAGTGGACTAAATTCAGATTCGACAATAGAAGCAAAGCACATGTTTATAGGCAATATTACACCTGGAAACAGACTTGGTCCAAAATAGGCATGACTTTAAAGTTTCACACAATTCACTTCATGCCGAGCTTGAGCTGTCACTCGCCGTGTGGGAACGGACATGAGTGGACTAAATTCAGATACGACAAAATCCGGAAATATCGTAGGTGTATCGTGACCTCCAAAAAATTATTGTGTATCGTATCGTATTCAAAATATCACAATATATCGTTGCAACCCTATTTTCCAGGACAACCATTGGAATTGTGTTGCAGAGGTAACCAAACAAAAGTAATGTCACAGAGATTTAAAGTCATTAAGTTAGCATAGGCGTTTCTAGATGAATGTCAACTGTTTTCAGATGATGAGGATAAAAAAAATCTGGAAATACATGTTGAAGGCGAGGAGGAAACTCCTCGAAAGGAGACTGTTTACGGTGACCTTCACAAGAGCAAGGAGCAAAACAAAAACAATGAGGGAAAAGATGGTATTGAAGCCAACACAGTGTTTTGTTTTGTGTAGATATATGTAGGCCAGTGAATGCTTGTTGTCGACACCAGGTGGAGTTAGTGTTTGTTATTTTTTATCACCAAAGGGCGCCATTGTGTAAAAATGTTTAGTTTGTGTGTCAAAAAATAAGCCGGTCTTCCATCAATTTAAAAACAAACAGAAGTACAAATACAGAAAATATCACTTTGATTTATTATAGTTAACTGTCTCAGCATGATCTGGACTAACACATCAGAATTTTAAGTAAAACAAATGTTTGTGTTTTATACACATTGATATAATCATTAATGTTTTGTTTAAGTTAGGACAATTTTCTGTACAAATGTAACCTATCATCTTTTCTTTGCCTTAAAAAAGAAAAGCTAATCTGTTAAAGATATGGACAGTTGTTTTGTGTATGCATGCTATCACAATATGGTTTAACTGTTTTGTACACTGGCATGTATGTTTACTTACACATGGAACCTCATTAGTCTGAATGTCCTACACTTAAATGATATTATTTATGTCACAAAATAAAAACATCAGGAATAAGTTATTGGGAAACACAGTTTTATGCCCTTTTTGCTATTTAATTATTCTTGTTATTCTTTTCGTTTTAAAGAAAAAATGTGGTAGATTTGATTCTCTCATTTCAGCATTATGCTAGCTAATTTTATGTTTAATTGGGAACAAGATCGCATGAAGCTAGATAATTTTATGTTAAATTGGGAACTAAGTTAGCATGAAGCTAGCTAATTTTATGTTTAATTGGGAACAAAATAGCATTATGCTCGCTATTTTTATGTTTAATTGGTAACAAGATAGCATTATGCTTGCTAATTTTATGTTTAATTGGGAACAAGATAGCATTATGCTAAAAAACATTATGTTTAATTGGGAACATGATAGCATGAAGCTTGCTAATTTTATGTTTAATTGGACCCAAGATAGCATTATGCTAGCTAATTTTATGTTTAATTGGGAACAAGATAGCATTATGCTCGAAAACGTTATGTTTAATTGGGAACAAGATAGCATGAAGCTTGCTCATTTTATGTTTAAGTGGGAACAAGATAGCATTAGGCTCGATAATGTTATTATGTTTAATTGGGAACAAGATAGCATGAAGCTTGCTAATTTTATGTTTAATTGGACCCAAGATAGCATTATGCTCGATNCAAAAACATTATGTTTAATTGGGAACAAGATAGCATGAAGCTTGCTAATTTTATGCTTAATTGGGAACAAGATAGCACAATGCTCGATAATTTTATGTTTAATTGGGAACATGATAGCATTATGCTAGCTAATTTTATGTTTAATTGGGAAATAAGATAGCATCATGCTAGCTAATTTTATGTTTAATTGGGAACAAGATAGCATGAAGCTCGCTAATTTTATGTGTAATTGGGAACAAGGTAGTATGATGCTAGCTAATTTTATGTTTAATTGAGAACTAAGATAGCATGAAGCTAGCTCATTTTATGTTTAATTAAGAACTAAGTTAGCATGAAGCTAGCTTACCTTATGTTTAATTGGGAACAAGATAGCATTATGCTTGCTAATTTTATGTTTAATTGAGAACTAAGATAGCATGAAGCTAGCTCATTTTATGTTTAATTGAGAACTAAGTTAGCATTTTATGTTTAATTGGAAACAAGATAGCATTATGTAGCTAATTTTATGTTTGATTGGGAACTAAGATAGCATGAAGCTAGCTAATTTATGTTTAATTGGACCCAATATAGCATTATGCTCTCTAATTTTATGTGTAATTGGGAACTAAGATAGCATCATGCTAGCTTATATTACAACTAAAGTGTGTTTAGCTAATAATATGTCGTTCTTATTTCATAAGGGTTTATGTTTTTAGAATATAGATTTTCATGTTAATAATTTCCTTGAAATATTGCACTTGTCAATGCATGATTGTCGTTGAAAGGTCTGTTATATATTGTATTCTAAAAGAGGTGCTCTTCAAGACGTTAATACCAAGATATTTCACCCCAAAGGACAATTTTAAGAATTTTCAATAATAAACTGTTTGAATATTAAATATCAAATTGTGAAAATTATTTTGTTGTGACTATAGATTTCTTTCTGTGTGAAGCAATAAACTTATAGTACAACAATATCTTAAAGGTTTAATATAGACAGTTTTTCTGTTTATCATATATTTCAATGAATTCTCTATTTTCAACAGGACAGTTTTACAGGTTGTAGAAACACTGTTTGTGAACATTGTAGGACATCAATTTCAATTAATTTTGATGTTAAGTTATATTAAAATGGTCTTGAACATTTGCAGAAAAATTCCTGATGAAAACATATTTTGTAATTGGAAATTATGATAATTCATTATCCCCTTTTCATTTCCACCAGAATCGGAAGGATACGATGATGACTTTGAAGAGGATGAGGATGACAAGAAAAAAACTAATGGTAAGTCATTCTTTCATAGATGTGAACTTTGATTTTTCAAATGTACATGTAGTCTGATTGGTTAATCAATCCGAGCTGTTTTTGTACATGGATTTGGAGAGGGAAGTTTGACAGGACTGTGAAGAGGTGTGTGTGTGTCGGGGACATGTTGAGTAGAAAGAAAGGTGAAAGAGGAAGACAAAGAAGGAAACGGGGAGGGGGGATGATGGGAAGGGGAAATTATATTGTGCTGAAAAGCATGGATTCAGTCGTGAGTTAGAAGACTAAGAAAGTGGAGGTAGAGCTGGACCTAATGGTGGGGGTTAGTACCTCTTAAATCTGTTTTTTTCTGAGTTTAAAGAAAACTAGAATAATTAATAATAGATTAAACAAATACTGAAGGTCAAATTTCACTTTATCTTTAACAAAGATGTCAGAAAGTTATGGTATTATTTATTTATTTCAGAGTGACAAAATGGTTGTAAGATTTTAATTTGAGATCATAAATATCTTCAATAGTTTAAAAGCAAACTGCACATTATTTTTGGCCTGTATTTTATATAGAGCATTTGCCTTTTTAGGGTCTCTATCCTCTGTGAAATGAATCTGGCTGCTTTAGAAATAGTTTTTGACTTTTCTGGAATAAAAATAAATGAGTAAATCCAGAAGCCGTTCTTTTAAATATTTTCCAGAAGAGTTTTTGGTAATAATTGAAGAATATGTACAGAAAATTACATGGGCACTGGCAGTTCATTTCACTTAGGAAAGTAACTTTTATCATAGAGTGTATTATTTAAATTTTATATATTGTATAAATGTATAAAAAGCTTATGTATCCATGGTAACCGTTTTTTGTTAGTAATTTTGTTCTTTACACACTATGTTATCAGTAAATTACTACCCAGTCTGACCGTCATTTAAGAAAAAAACACCTTTAAAAATCTGTTAAATATGTTTTTTACCCTACTGTATTTTACGTGAAGAATGCATGCCATAAATAATATGGGCAGAAATAGGATAGTTTGGTATTTGAAATATTATCTTAGTATTTACCCTTTCACCCCTAGGTATCTTTAGTAGACTCGGCCATACATTTATCTGGATGAGTCCATTATAGTCTACAGTGGTGAAAGGGTTAAGTCTGTGATATTACGTATCAATCTTTACTTTCCTGATTATCTGATGCATACAGTACAAGTACAAAAACTTTGTGTACTATTTTCATCGTTTGTCATCGTTTTCATCGCTGGAGTCATATATTGTCGTTACATCTTCGACAGGAAAAGAAAGAGGAGCGGAAACAACAACAGATGGGGGTGATTAATCCATTGTCTGATCGATAGACCTTGTATGTTGTGTGATATATATATACACTATTTCAGTGGAATATCATTATGGTCTAGGAGAAGCCCTGTTTTCCAAAACAAATCGTGATAATGAAAGAAAACAAAATAATGAAAAATTATTAACACAAATTAAACACATGGTTCTGATTAATGTTTAAGCAATATTGAGTCAATTAAACACAACATATCTAGAATAAAAATTAAAAAAAGAGATATTTTCAGTTAAGCAAAGAAATATCAGTCAGGCTTTGCAAGATAAGAACCATCCATATATTTGATAAACTGATTGAAGGTCATTTCGTCAATGGTTCTTAGCTGATGTGTATTAAGGACAAGTCATAGAATCATGGATAGGTGAATGTAATAGGGAACAATGGATACTATTTACTGTGCTCTGTTGAATTTATTTTACAAAATAACACTAGGTTACAGTATAAAATATGTTAGAGATCCATATAGACGTATATGTTGCCATGCAATGTAAAAGACACTTATCACCACGCTTTGTCGCACCAGTTTAATGCACATTCCTCGATCAACTTCAGGAAATTTCTTAACTTAAGTGTTTCCATTGATAAACATTGTTTGAACATTAACTTAAGTAAGGAAAATTTTACCAAACCACAGTAATTTTTTCTAATGGAAAAACTGATGTTAAAGATTATCCTTATGTTAATTGATGTTCGTTAAAATGGTGCCCAGGTGTTGAGTAGCTAATGCAATGTGAATGTAGCTTCAGACATTTAGTATAATGACATTTTGTATTTTTACTGCGACTTTGATACATTCTATAAGTGTGTAGAAAATTTGCCTTTAGAATCTATAGACGATAGATTAGTTTTCTTTTTTTTATTGAATTCTATTTTATCAATAAATATATATTTTTAGATTTGCGAGTGTGACTTGTGTTATAAATCAGGCTGCCACATCCAGATTTTGCTGACGCGACACATTTTTTCCGTAGAAGTAACAATAAATGCCTAAAAGCTGTGTAGTTCTCAGACTATAGTCTATTCTAGAAAAGTGAGCTTTTAATTTTTAGTGTGAAGCTTCATTGTATGAAATATTTTGACAGAGCACTTTAATATGTGTACGACACTGTTACTTTTTATACAAAAGACGTTGCATGTTGGTATTGTGATCTCCGAGTGCCTTGCTTTAAAACTTATGTGGCCTATTTCTTTAATGTGATACTTAAATACTTCTACATATAAATCTGTAAACAATGTGAAATATTTTCTTCCTTTATTCTTCGATAGATAAGGGATCATTTAGTGATTCCATAAAAATGAGATTGACTTTGTTTCTAGGAAATTTCAAATATCAACTATATGTATATGATAATATATAAAAATGAAGAGAAATTGATAACTCATTGCCTTTAACGTTGATCACATTTGTTATCTGGCATAAATATTTGAAATGTTGAAACAAGCATTAGAAAAATTAAACAAAAATGTTAGTGTTTTAAAAATCCTAAAAAAAATGTCATATTTAAAAGAATTCCTCAAATTTTGAATTTTAGGTTAAACATGAAACCAGTCCTCGGCTTTCTCTTTGTGTGTTAAAATATAAAATTTGTTCCTATTTCGTATGAGTGTTGATATTCATACTTACCTCCCTTGACCATAATGGTAGTCTGAAGCATGGTTGATGTTATTTCACAGGTATCTATTTTTTGTTTGTCAGTTTTACACACGAGTTCATATCTGCCCTTGAAAACTTAATAAAGTAACATATGTTTGTTTGAAGATCAGAGTTTTTTTCAACTTTTTCCTAAAAAAAGTTCTGAGTAAATGAAGCTGCATTGTGAATAGGACCATACAATCCTGACCATAAATCTGATTTAAAAAACCCAACTTTGAATAAAGATAGAACCAAGCAGATATGGATTGTTTGTAACGCTGACATACTTTATTGGAATTAATGACCACATTGTTCACTTGAATTCTTACGTTTCATATTTTCAGTTATTTTCAATAAAATATTACATTTTGCAATTAAGAATTTTATTAAATTCATTTAATTGCACTTTTGATCAAAGAGAACACTGTAAACATTTTTACTGTTACTCATAATGTCTTCTGGTAACAATTTTTTATCATTTTATACCTTTTTTATTTAATTGGGAAGCCATACCTTCCTTTTTCTTATTAAAGAAATTAGTTCAGAAAGCATGATTGAATTAAGATAGCACTGACAGAATTAAAAAAAAGTAGTGTATGTGATCTTTGCCTTATAATTGTAAATATCTATATCTATATCAGTGTTAGTCAATTTATATATTTTCTAAGGATATTCATGTCGTACAAAAAATGTATTTTCAAAAATATAAGATCAGAAAGTTTGTGGCAAATACAAAAAGAAATATTTTTTTATACTTAGTTTTGACAGTCCTGATATACTTGCTGTTTATAAAAAGTCTATTTTTAAACTGTACATTTTGCACTGTTGTTCACTATGATCTCTCATTGGTTCATTTTTATCACCTTTGCATTAAGCTGGTTCATTTGAAAAATAGTTTAATTAGTTATTAATTTCATGTTTGCAGCTCACCATCACTCTTCCTTATATTTTGATTGTGAATTATCCCCCTTTGTTGTGATTTCCTGTAATTTTTGTTTTTCACTGCTGGACTGCTACTTTCACATGGATTAACTGGGGTAACATCACATGACTTGCATGTGACCACGTCACATGAATGATTGCTGTTTATGTCACCATCCCTGTAACCTGACTGTCATGTGACCAAGTTTCACCTTTCACCTGACCCTATGACCTTGCATAAATTGCTGTGACCCGAGATTTCAACAGGTCAGTTTCAGGCTTTTTATATAGCATTAACTTATATCTATAATGAGTTTTAATCTTAAGTTTGATGCAATTTTCAAAAGTACATTTTTTGCTCCATTTTGTTTTTCATACAAAAATATCTTTATGATAAAAAATTCTTACAGTTTGCAGTTTTATATCTTAATTGTGATAGAGTATAATAAGGATAAAATAAATTATTTATAATATATGGGGTTCAGATAAAGTTTTTTTTTTAAACACATTTTGCATTGGAACTAAAGTGTGTTTCCTCTATCTTTGTAGATTATGAGCTCAAGGGACAAAAATGCAAGTCACATGGGTCAGAGGGTGAAGGTCATAAGGGCAGTCAAGGTCATGGTCATGGTGAAGCAGCCAATCAGAGTAAGATCGTAAAATCAGATAGACACGTTAGGTTTGACTCAGTAGTAGAAAAGATTCCTGGTAGCACAGAGTCAGACACACGTTCAAACAAAACTGGACTTTGCAAGCCGGAGACGAGGAAATCCGAGTTTGCTTTGGCACGAAAATTAGCTGAAGGGGGAAATGGTGCTGGGGAATTGTTAACAAAGTTCCTCGAGGATGTAGCTTTAGACACATGTGATGAAGTTTCAGAAATAGAAACTGATGTGGATTCGCCAAGAAAGCAAGAATCGCCAAGGGTCAGTAAAAATACAAAACTCAAGGATTTAAAAAATTCTGATTCTGGAAAACGTGTTGAGGTCAACGTTGAGGAAGATGAGTTTGAACCCTCTGAGGATGTTCACAAGGATGGAGATTTCCAAAAAGATGGCCATCTGGATCGTCATGGAAGTCTTCCAGATATCAAAGAGGAATCTGAAAACAATTACTCGGACGATTTTG